TTAGACCAATTTAGTTCTTGATACCAGACTGTAAACATGTTAATTTATGCTGTAAAAACGGCTTTTTCAACTGTGGTGTGTATGTGACTTCAGGGGGTCCTGCAGCCAGCCTCAAGCGGACACTCGACGAACTGCAGCATTTTGCACTCCCGCATCGGCTTCATTTTTCAAGACCGGATGTTGCCGCTTGGTCGAAATGTTGTGATTGTGATGGAATAAAAACGTTTGGTGGCATTTGAGCAAGTGTGTGGGCATATCTTCTTCATCACTGTAAAGCTGCTCATCTTTTTCAAAGTCAACATGCCGAAAAGGTTCAACACAAGTCTTGATGTTGAAAGACAGGATGAGGGATATAAGCGTACAGATGGATGAACCCACTGAGAATAATAAATCCAAGATGGAGTTTTATGTAAGTGTCTTCATCGCCCTCATAGGCCCATTATAAATACACATCTTCTATAGCTAAAGGGTGTGACTGTTTTTCTAAAGCTCTGATTGTAAAGATTTAACTTTCTTTCTTCTTTTCTTTAAATAACTGAATACTGAAATATAGAATATATATACTGTAGGCCCACCTCATTGAATTTTAAATGTAAGGCCTTATTCATATACAGCTCAAAATTAAATTTATCCCATACAGGCCTCAGTTGAAAAAAACCTAAGCTACCACATTATAATAGCCAGAATTATTAATATTTTTTCTCAATGCTTCCCTGCTGCATACAATAGTTTCTAATGATATAATTTACTCAATCAGCGTGGTGGACTTGGTGAAGAGATAAAAGCGAATAGATGGACGAACCCACTGAGAATAATGAATCCAAAATGGAGTTTATGTAAGTGTCTTCATCGCCCTTATAGACCCATTATGAATACAATCCATAGAGAACAGATGTGACTGTTTTTCTAAAGCTCTGATTCTGCAGATTTAAATAATAAAAATATATAATGATTATAACCTGCGCACACATCGCACCATCCCACTTTAATTCACTGGCGTGTCTCTCCACAGTGACTTATAATATTGTATCTTTGGCACTATTGTGTGAGTTTAATTCAGTTGACTCGACCAAACTTTAGATACGCTCTGAGGCTTTCTGTCATTAGCAAACTGAAACCACTGCTTTTAAAGCCTTTTTGATGCATTCAGTCACACTGCTTTTAGGTGACAGGATTGCTTAATGATCGAAAGTGCTCTTTGCAACCAGTAGTAAGAATCAATTACAAGCACGAATTGGTGATCCAACAACTGGGGGGGGGGGGGGGGGGGGCAGAAACCTGTATAAGAGCATGGCATACATATTAAGTGTTTCAGCAGGAGCCCTTTCCACACTCACAGGAGGTTATGGGACTAAAGCCCCAATACTTGGGTTTAGAACTCACTCCCTAAAGAAGGCAGCTGTCTGTCTGTCTGTCTGTCTGTTGTTTTCAAGTGTGGCTTTGTGGACAACCCTTGAAAAATAAAGATGTACCAATTCTCATCCCACTTTTTGCCCAGTCTAGTTTACAAAAGTGACTTATTTTCTGGAAGTTAGCATGACACTCACTTCATTTGCAGAAAAAAAACTTCACAAATCACATTTTGTAGAGGTAATCAATCCTTACACCTGCACACCTAGAGGGACATCCACACACAGCATAGTTTGTCTTCAGGTAAAAAGCACCATGGTGAATTGATGGTTATTACAACACAAGTCGAACTCAGACTGTCTTTAAGAGTCATATGGCAGACTTATGACATGGCCATTAGTGTTAGTGCACTTTAGTTGCCTCAGGCTCGAGCTGAAAATAGAAGACCTTTGGCTCGCTGCTCGTGGCAACATGATTCACTCAACAATGAACTGGTGAAGAGTTCTTTCAATAAAGATGTTGACAAGTCAAAGTAAGATGGAACTTTATTGATTACCACCGTCTCAAAGATCTTCGATTAAATGTATCTTTGAAAAGATCTTGAAGAAGGCTCAAGCTCATCAAAGGCTATTTTTGTAGGAACAGAGCATTTTCATTGCATCACTTAACAAATTCATTTGTTTGGTTGCCTTTGCCACTGCCCCTAGATTGGATTCCAGCCATTTAGTCATTGTTAAATACACAGCCCTGGGCCTTATAACAGAAAGTTATCAGGTATGAAATCCTGTCTTAATTAACGGATTCAAGTTAATATATCCCTCCCACTAACAGGTGCCATTTCAAAGAGATTATCAACATTATTCACTTCACCTGCCAGTGGTCCTAATTTTACGGGTGAATGCTGTGTAGTCGAACATGTGAGCTTTACAGTGAGGAAAAAAAGAGGCTTCACAGCTGAGTGTAATTGGATGAAAGAAGAAAACAAAGACTCCCTTTTCATGCAAGAAATGTAATCTCCTGAAAGGGAAATTTCATCTAAAGAAACCCTTCCAACCCATTATTTAAAAAAGTGGATGCAAGTGATTTGACCATGCTAGCATCATGGCTTTAATCATTACAATTTTGGTCAGCCAATCCAAAACCGGTCTTGATTAAAACGTCTCCAACTCTATTTATTTCCAAACGATGGTAGAGACTATCCTGGTCCTCAGAGGACCAAACAAACTGTCCTTGATAAAACCCTGACTTTTCCTCGAATTACCATTGCAGGCACATTTTTTGATTTACTACCCATGTGAAATATATCTGAAGTCATAAACATTACACTTGGTAGAGATATCGGTCCCAGAGAGTAAACCCTAAAGACCTTGGTGATCTCTTGACAGTTCCTGTAACTCCTACTTCCTATAACCTTTTCCAATGAGAGCCTGTCAACACAAAACTCTCAACCTGCAACAAATCCACCCCCAAGAAATACCACTGTGTAGCACATAAATCATCGGCACAACAAAAAACAGACTGTCTGAAATACAACAGTGAAACAGTTGGATAAAAACTGAATTCTCTCATACACTCTGAAATGAAAAAAAAGGCGAGGTGAAGCGATACCGTTTTAGGAAACTGTGAAGCATGCTTAAACAGAAAATGTTGAGCCTGTTTGTATAGGCTGTGATCTTGCATCATCTAACTTGCTTCTTGTGTGGGTTTAGAAATCGCAGCAGTTTCATACAGTGCTATCAATCTTGTTATTCTGTAGCAACTTGTGAACTGTGGCCAGGAATACATATCTTCACACAACAACTTTCAACACAAAGTGTGTCAGCCAGTAATACAAATCCTTTCCATTCACAACCAGACCTTGGGATCAATTTATGTATTTATTCTTAATCTCTGAAGAGGAATAGCTACGTTTTTGCAGCTTGCTGTGACCAGTCTCCACTTGTCAGTTCACACACATGCAGATTGATTTTATATTGAAGGCTGTGATATAGAGTTTGGATTAAAGCTGGTTTATGTTTGACTGCAATATTTGTCTCACGGTCAAATAAGCAAAAACAAATATTCTGTCCATATTGGAATGTATAGATCAGAATATGATTAAAAACACTTCATTCTACATTTATTTCATGTGATATTTTATTTCGTATTGATTGTACTTAAATCACAGCATCTGCTCTGCCTCTAGCTTTCCCTCGAGTTTCCCAGCGTCTCTTGTTCTCCCCTGTTTCCCGCTGTGTCAGACCTGTGTATCTGTGTTTTTTGTCACTGGCAGCGTGTGTTCTGGTTACCGACTCACTAATAACTCCTGTTCAGTTACACCTGCCGTTTCTCAAGCTCATCACTCTGCAGCAATTTCCAATAGCTCATCTCCAGATTTTCGTTGCATCTGCATTTGTGGACATTCCCGCTCCAGGGCCATCCATATCCACTTAGAAAACCGTATAAATGTTTTTGCAATTTGGAGTCCTTCAAGTTCTTTATGAAACTTGTTTTTTTTCCATCTCCCTTGTGCTTCAGTATTATTAACTCCCATCGTGTCCTTCTTCCCGTCTGCTCCCTCCCCTGCTTGCTAACCGCACGAGATGTGTTTTCTCATTTTGATTTATTCCTGGATTTAGCAGTAAACAGTCGCACTGCATAGTCGTATCATGACTGCGTCCTGACTCCTGAGACACAAAAGGCCTTGACGTCAGATACAAAGCACGGACAACACCTAATACTAAGAGACACCGCTGTTTCCAAAGAGTATGCCTGCCTGAATGAATGAACAAACTGTTGATGTAGGCAAAGTGACAGCCACAAAGGTTGTGGTCTTCGAAATATTCAGTGTGCTGTGTCCACCAGCTTCACACACACAAACAGATAAAAGGAGTGTTTATCATGTTCACTGCAATATGCCTTTAAATCTTTATCCACTGAAAGCAACCAACGACTCTTATTGTGAAGCTTGAAATTGTGCTAATGACCTTAATATTCCTTTTCCTTTTATCTCTGTAAGTAGCAGAGAATCCTGTTGTAGTGAGAAGAATTACTATCTTTGTTGTAGATTTACAGCTGCGAGTTCACGACGTGAAAAGGTAGATTTAATAAAAATGAAATACAAGTCCCAGAGATGCTCTGAGTAATTACCTCTTTATGTTTTATCTGCTCCAAAAATGTTTTGTTTTCACATCATTTTTTATCAGCAGAATGCAATTAATTCAGCGTGGTGGTGGTCTGGGATCACACATCAGACAAGAAATGTTTTTACCACAGGAGCCAAATCAATCGAGACAGAAGCTTAAAACACTTTTTAAAAGTAACACAAAGCTGGAAAACTGCCCTGGCAGTTGATTATGAATGCATTCTAGTCTTGCAAAAACAGCAAAGAAAACTGGACAACCTTCAAATCTTGCTCTACTTTAAAGTCATTTAACTGTCAAATTGGCACATTTCTTAAAAGCTTCCTTTTCATTTTCTGTTCAGAGTATAAATTCAAAATAATGTAATAATTACTTGGAGCCACCAGTCTCTCAGTGGCAGACAATTACAGATTATTCCTGGTTCTCTGATTTCTAGTTCAAAGATCATCGTGTTCACAGATACTAATTGTGATTCCCTAGGTCATACTGGTAATGAATGTTGTACTGTTTCCTCTTAAGCATGCTTACCTTCCGTTTAGCCCGGAGCTGTCCATGATAGTTATCGGATGAGTCTCCTGGGATCTCCCCTCCCCACAGAGTCACCCCCACGATGGTGTAAGTGATGCCCATCACCACTAGGGGCAGCACATAGACGAGAACGGTCACTATGATATGATACCTAGAAAGAGAGAAAAAAAGGAAAGGAGTGTGATTTTAATGTTTTATTCTACAACCAACCAAGTGGCTGCTTAAGATATTAACAGCTTGATTCACAAAAAGATTGTGCATCGGCTTTTGTGCCCACTAAACCTGTATAAGTGAGTCTAATTCACAAAACACACACAAATGGTTAAATGCACCCCTAACTGCCTTGTGGATCAGTGCTGTTTGCCTGTGTTGTTTTTTCTTCTTGTTGTTTATCAACGTTGTTCACTTCACCTGCCAGTGGTCCTAATTTTACAGGTGAATGCTGTGTAGTCGAACATGTGAGCTTTACAGTGGGAAAAAAAGAGGCTTCACAGCTGAGTGTAATTGGTTGAAAGAAGAAAACAAAGACTCCCTTTTCATGTAAGAAATGTAATCTCCTGAAAGGGAAATTTCATATAAAGAAACCCTTCCAACCCATTATTTAAAAAAGTGGATGCAAATTATTTGACCATGCTAGCATCATGGCTTTAATCATTACAATTTTGGTCAGCCAATCCAAAACCGGTCTTGACTAAAACGTCTCCAACTCTATTTATTTCCAAACGATGGTAGAGACTATCCTGGTCCTCAGAGGACCAAACAAACTGTCCTTGATAAAACCCTGACTTTTCCTCGAATTACCATTGCAGGCACATTTTTTGATTTACTACCCATGTGAAATATATCTGAAGTCATAAACATTACACTTAGTAGAGATATTGGTCCCAGAGAGTAAACCCTAAAGACCTTGGTGATCTCTTGACAGTTCCTGTAACTCCTACTTCCTATAACCTTTTCCAATGAGAGCCTGTCAACACAAAACTCTCAACCTGCATCAAATCACCCCCAAGAAATACCACTGTGTAGCACATAAATCATCGGCACAACAAAAAGCAGAAATACAACAGTGAAACAGTTGGATAAACACTGAATTCTCTCATACACTCTAAAATGAAAAAAAGGCGAGGTGATGCGATACCGTTTTAGGAAACTGTGAAGCATGCTTAAACAGAAAATGTTGACCCTGCTTCCTTTTCTCTTTCTCAAAAAAGTCTAATTCACAAAACACACACAAAGGAGTAAATGCACCCTTAACTGCCTTGTGGATCAGTGCTGTTTGCCTGTGTTGTTTTTTCTTTGAGTTTTCCTTGCTTGCTCCATTCAGAGAGGAGGCTTTGTTTCAACTGGGGAAACTCACATTAAATTTCTGCTTCTCGCCTCACAATAAACTTGAAAAGGTGTCCCTTCCCTTGTAGCGCGCCGTCTTCATGTGGACCAAATTGAGCTGCGTCAACATGACAGCACAGGCCATCACAGAGTAAACGTGCAGATGGCTTCTCTCCACATAAACAGAAGCAACTTGCACAGAGCAAGCTGCCCCTGAATATCATCAGCACTATATGGTTTTTGAATTAGAGCTTGAGATGGAGCAGACAGCGGGAGAAAATGATGCACCATTTTTGGGCCTTTTAGCGGCCGCGATCCATTCTACTACAAGCTCTTAGAGTGTAAACACCAATTTTTACTTACAACTAAGTGAGACTGTCTTTCTGAGGAATGGCATAGTAGTTTATTACGACAAATGCCCCAAAACAATATATAATTCAGCGATAAGGCTTCCAGCATGGATAGTTAACACGCAGTACAGGATTGAGAGGAGAATTTCAGGTGTCAGGTTCAAGCACAGCAGCAAAGTCCCAGTAGAGGGGAGGTCGGGGTGGATGAATGGGTCAACAAAATATAGAATGTAAGCACAGGAGACAGCTGCTCACTTTCTGTCAATAGTAGATTGTGTTTTGTTTTTAAAGTCAAGGCCCCAATTTAACCCAAATACTTGTGTGTAGTATTTTAACCACAACAACAAAAGACACCATATTGAATGCTCCTAAACCAAACAGAAACAGGAAGAACACACTCAGGTATGTGATTCTTCATGCCTGGTGTATCATCTGCTTTAAAGGCTTTATATGCAATTTTTTGATCCAGCAGATGTCGCCCTTGAGCACCAGCATGAAACCATGCTAACCGTGTTAGCATGCTAATGCTAGCGATCTTTATTATGCTCGTATCTTCACACTGCGTGTAAATTTACCCAAAATGACCGTGATCTAAAAATGCTTACATGACATTCAATTAAGCAGTGAGTACAGTATGTTGTTCTTCTTTTCTCTAGTCCCGCAATTAAACAACTTTTATACGCGAGGGGGTGAGCTAGCCGCCCGTCCCGCCGTTGTAAACAAGCTGAAGATAGGACTCGGAAAACTCGGAAAGCATTTAAGACAGTGGGACTCGGGTGTTACATCCATTGTAGACAGTCATGACTCACAGAGTTATTTTCAGAGGATATACTTGATTTCTATTACATTTAAGTGTGAAAAATCACATATAAAGCCTTTAAAATTAGCAATAATGAGGCACTGTTATCCTAACAGACAGGAAAAGAGTAGGACCCTTTAATCCTCCATCCATTACAAGCACATATCGCTTTAGAAAATAGGAACATCCTGGGTAATAATTTTTTAGAATAGTTTTCATGTTTCTGCAGTATTAGCCTTTGCTCCATTTATCCAGTTAATCAAAGTTTGACTCTTTGTCTTCTCATTTCTGTAGTGATGTCGTTTTTTTACATCACAGTCTTTAGCTAATCAGAACTTAACGTGGATTGAATGTCTGCCTCTAGAGCACTATCCTATTCCCTCATTGTATTCCTTAAATCTGCCCTGGAGAGTCCACTTCTGGCCATATGTAGTCTGAATGGCTTTTTTAAAATATATGTCTCACTGACTGAATGACTACAGTTCCTCAGGTATGTTCAATCAGAGTCAGGATTGGCTTTACTGGCCAGTTGTGTTTGTGCACACAAGGAATATGACTCCGGTTAACTTTGCACTATAGGTACAAATATTAAAGGTCACATATTATGCAAAATAAACTTTAATTCCATCCTCTTCATCCATTGCCTGCTCTACTTTTCAGAAAATGTGTGCTCAAACAGGCCGTTTAACGTTTTTACCTTCATGACATCACAAAGGGCAGTAACCCCTCCCCCAGGGGGGGTGACACTCCAATAGCTAGGTGTTATTCACCCTCTGAGTCTGATTTCTCACCCATAACTGAACTGAACTGAAACAATAGGGCATGGTGCAAGAAAGCCTGAGCCTCCCAAGCCCTTTTAGAGGGGTGTGGCCAGGCACAGCTCATTTGCATTTAAAGGTATAGACACAGAAACAGCCTGTTCTGAGCTGGTGGCTGGCGCACTGCAGTAGTGTTAGCATCTGAGGAGAAAGTACAATTTAAGAGCACTTCACTCGCTCTTGAGTTATCACTCTTGAGTTTATTTTCACGACACACTGGATCCCATAGCACCCTTTCTACTCTTTAAAATTTAACAACATGGTCCTGCTGATCCGATAAGATTTGACTCAGCTACCCCGCCTGGTTTCAAATGACATCAAAGTCTTTTTCTCAAATAAGTTACAAAATGTTTCTTCTCACATGAAAGAGTCGTCTGCCATGCGGGGCCAGGCCACGTAGCAGAGGGTCCTGTGTTTCAGCGTTCGGATGGTGGAGAAGTAGCAGAGAGGGAAGGCCAGAACCACGGCCAGACTCCAGATACACACGATGACTCCTGTGGTGGCCTTCGCCGACAGACGAGGCTTCAGGGGATGGATGATGGCCATGTACCTGCAGGTCAGAGGTGAGCAGGTTACAAAGACATAGTTGTGTTTTAAAACCTTGACAACATATTTCATTACTGAGTGATGTGTTGATTCTGAACTTACTCAACCAGGAACTCTCTTGCAATGCATGAATTTGATTGATTAAATTTATTTCAGACATATCAAATAAAATCAGACATATCAAAAATACAAAACAAAATGAAAAGCACGAAAATACAATAAACAAAAAACAATGTTCAAATTATTTCACAAAAAAAGAAAAAGAAAAAGAAAATTACATATATTCAATTGATATGCCTGAAAAGGAGTAGGAAGAAGTATAAAACTTATTTAATCCTACCCCTTTTCCACAGCTCAATAATTAATATTTATTAAATTAAATTCCTGTGTTCCTTATAAGCTATCTATTTACAATTTGCATTACTATTATTACTATTATTTATATATATTTTTTCCTTCTTAAAGCTCACCCTCATCCCTGTACCTTTTGAAAATCATTGCATTGTACATTTTTTTTAAACTGGATCATGTTTGGACAATGCTTTAGCTCCGTGCTCATACCATTCCACAGTTTCACAACACCAATTGAAATGCATTGACTTTTTAAAGTCGTGCGAACAGTTAGCATCTTAAAATATAACTTTTCCCTCAAATGATAACCCCCCTCTCTGTCAAAAAATAGTTTTTGAATATTACCTGGTAGCAGTTTGTTTCTTGCTTTGAACATGATTTGTGCCACTTGATAGTCAACTAGGTCAATGAACTTTATAGTACGGGAATGTAAAAACAGGAGGTTGGTGTGATCATAATATCCTGCTTTATTGATTGTTCTTATGGCTCACTTTTGAAGTGTGACTAGTGGTAGCAGTGAGCTTTTGTAAGTGGTCCCCCAGACCTCCACACAGTAATTTAAATAAGGTAAGATCATTGAACAGTAGAGAATATGCAATGATTTGTGATCCAATATATGCTTTGCTTTACATAGGACTGAGATGCTACATGACAGTTTAGATTTAACATGTTTTATGTGAGGTTTCCAGCAGAGCTTGTGGTCTATTGTCACACCCAGGAATTTAGTTACATAGACTCTTTCAATATTAACACCATCTATCTTAACATTTACATCATTATTTAAAGTACAATTTCCAAACAACATGATTTTTGTTTTGCTTAAATTCAATGAGAATTTATTATTGTCAAACCACCTTTTTAATTTGCTCATTTCAGATGTAATTAACTCCAGAAGCTGCTGCAAATCCTCTCCCGTACAAAAAATATTTGTGTCATCTGCAAATAACACAAATTGTAGAATATTTGAGGTTTTACATATATCATTTATATAGAGAATAAAAAGAATTGGGCCCAACACTGACCCCTGGGGGACACCACAAGCAATGTCCAAACAAGATGACGTGTATTCACCCAACTTCACAAATTGTTGCCTGTTATGTAGATAGCTCCTCAGCCAGTTTAATACAACCCCCCTGATACCATACCGTTCTAATTTATGAATTAATCTGTCGTGATTTATTGTATCAAATGCTTTTTTGAGATCAATAAAAACACTAGCTGCATAATTCTTTTGGTCCAGAATTTGTGATTTTTTCAATTAGCTCAATGACTGCTAATGAGGTGGATCTGTTGGGTCTGAATCCATATTGGCTGTCAGTTAGTAAGTTGTGTTTATTGATAAATTTGTTTAGTCTGTCAGCAAAGAGTTTTTCTAAGATTTTTTAAAATTGAGGAAGCAGTGAAACAGGCCTGTAGTTTGTGAAGTGGTGTTTGTCTCCAGTTTTGATTGACTTTTGCAATTTTCATTTTTCTTGGGAATTTACCAGTTTTAAATGATAAGTTACAGATGTGCGTTAGTGGTTTTGCAATTCCCTGAATGACCTGTTTAACTATTCTCATGTCAATGTCATTATAGTCAGTAGAAGTTTTGTTTTTACATTTATGAACAATCTCTATAATTTCACTCTCTTCCACTGCTGTTAGAAACATTGATTTTGGATTAATGTCTATGAAATCATAATTCTTGTCGTCAGATCTCACAGAAACAGGGATTTTTTCAGCCAGTATTGGTCCAACATTTACAAAATAATTATTGAAGCCATTAACTGCAATATCCATATTATCAATAGTCATATCATTATCAATAAAGTCATGTGGATATTTAACTTGTCTAGAACCATTTCCAATAACATTATTTAATATATTCCATAAACCTTTACTATTGTTTTTATTTTTATCTAATAATTTGCTGTAATATTCTTTCTTACTATTTCTCATAATATTAGTTAGCTTATTTTTATATTTCTTATATTTATTTTCTGCATCTTTGGTTCTAAGTTTAATGAATTCTTTATATAGTGTATTTTTCTTTTTGCAGGCATTTTGTAATCCCTTAGTTATCCATGGACTATCTGAACATTTAAATTTCATTTTGATTTCTTTTATTGGACAATGTTTATCATACAACAACTTAAATACCCCTAAGAATTTTCATAAGCTCTGTCTATGTTTTCTTCTTTATATAATATTTCCCAATTTTGATTTATTAATTCATTTTTTAAAGCGTTCATTGACTCTTCTGTCCGTACTCTTCTGTACTTGACTGTACGCTCCTGTTTTTCCCTCTTGTAGTTGTTATTGAAAACTATAAACACTGGCAGATGGTCACTGATGTCATTGATCATTAATCCACTTATTGTATTATTGTCTATAACGTTTGTAAATATGTTGTCAATCAATGTGGCACAGTGAGATGTAATCCTGCTGGGTCTGGTGATTTTTGGATAGAGGCTTAGACTGTACATTGTATTGATAAAGTCTTCAGTTGGTTTGTGGTTATTGGGATTAAGCAGATCTATATTAAAATCCCCACAGATGAACATGACCTTTTGATTAGATATTGTGAACATTTATTCCACCCATTCTTTGAATATATCAATATTGGAACCCGGTGCTCTATAAATACAGCTAACAATTACGTTCTTCTTTTTTTCCATGCAGATTTCAACAGTTAAACATTCTAATAAATTTTCGATTGCAGTTGTCATTCCATCTACCACCTTGCAATTAAGGTTTTTGTCCACATACACAGCCACACCTCCTCCAGGCTTGTTCTCTCTGTTCTTGTAGTTCAGTTCATAGCCATCTAATTCAAAGTCCACACCCTTTTCAGGGTTGATCCAAGTTTCTGATATTGCAATTATGTTAAATGGTTGTGCAAATTGACGTAAATATTCCTTAATGTTGTGGAAGTTTGCATACAGACTTCTGCTGTTAAAATGAATGTTTGATAGTTTTTGATCTGCCTTAATGGTCTTATTGTACTGTTCATCTGTGTAATAGCCGCAGTCGTCATTGATGTTTAAGAAGAAGTTATTTTCCGGGTCAATATTGTATTCCATGTCTTGTAAATTGTGCTCCGTGTATTCAAATGTTTTCAGTTCCAGATTCTCATTATCAGCAATCATTTGGGTTATAGGTACCGGCATAATGTCTCCAGATGTCGATGAATGATTTCCTTTAGAGTGTGTCATGATTGTGTAGGTTTTTTACTCACTTGTGTTTCCAGTTCGGCCTCATTGAAACTTGTCCAGCTCCGCAATGTCTCTGATCACCATCACTTTGGCCTCCTCCGGTGTTCTGTTAAGCTTTATGAAGATTTTGCAGTTGGTGGTCCACGTGGATTGTATTTTATTTTGTTTCTTGATGAATCGTGCTTGCCTGGCTATATCTGCGTTTCGTTTTGTTAAGTGTTCATTGATGTAGACGTCCGTCCCCTTCAGCTGCCTGCCTTGTTTCAGTAGTGCAATTTTGTGTTTACGGTTCATGAACCTCATTATTATGGCCGGTTTGTCGGTGTTGTTTTTGCAGGACAGAGGATGACGAGCCTCGATGGTGTTACAGTCAAAGTCGATTCCCTTTGACTGTAGGAATGCTGCCACTTGTTGCTCCGCGGACTCGGAGACTGCCTCTGGTTCGCCGTCACGGTCAGCGGTCACTGCTCGTGCATACGACCGGGGTTTTATTTTGAGCCCCGATATAACAATATCGTTCAGTCTGGTGTATTGCTCCAGGTCGGCCACTCTGCTCTCCAGGAACACGATCTTCTCCTCGTTCTCCAGCCTCAGCGCCTTAACCTCGGCCACCAGGTCCAGGATGGATTTCTGCTGCAGCCTGACAGCGGTAATCTCCACCGAGAGAAAGTCCAGCGACTTCTTAATGTCGTCGACTTCCTCCATCGCCGGTTGTTTTTTCGGTGGCATGGTGACTCTGGCTTGTTGCCAGCCGGCTTTGTCCACGTGCAAGCTAACCAAAGAGTGCCTTGGCCTGGCCTGGTGGAGCTGGCTGCTGGTTAGCCTGGGCCTGGCCTGGTGGAGCTGGCTGCTGGTTAGCCTTGGCCTGGCCTGGTGGAGCTGGCTGCTGGTTAGCCTGGGCCTGGCCTGGTGGAGCTGGCTGCTGGTTAGCCTGGGCCTGGCCTGTTCGATAATTTTTGTGGCGAGATTTCAGGAAAAAGTCAAAACTCCTCCGGTTGTTGTTCGTGCTGTTTCCCGTGTTAGCGTGTGACGTCACTTCCACTTCCACAACGCTGCCAGGAAGGTTTTCCAAAAGAGAAATTGAACTTGATGTGTTTTTAGTTTGAGTTTTTCACTTTGATGAAGTTTTCCCCTGAACTTTTACTCCCACAGGATAAGGCATTAGCGTGAATATGTCTTGAGAGTTGTTCAACAATGCTGAGAGTAATTTAGCCTTCTTGAGCGGATGAATAAAAAGCGTTGGAAGAGGTGTTATTAAATAGTGAAGGAAGGGAAAAATTGAAGAAGGGTATGGAAAGCAAAGGAACCCGTATGATTTAGAAAGAGACCTTACCTTTAAAAGCAAGAGTGATTCCTAACTTTCTTATCAAACTTTCACATCAAACATTTTTTATTTTCCTTAAGTGATATTAAACTTAATTTCTTCTGCAAGTCAGTCTGTAAGAGTCCAATTATACTGCAGTGTTTGATTTTCAGGGACATGATGGATGACTCACTTTAAAACGCTCGCTGTGATGAGATTTTGTTTGAACCGTACAGAGAACCACTCAGAAGTGGCAGGACATTAACCTGCTGAACATGAACTCAGCACAGAATGCCACATGATTTTCAATTGCTTGTAAAAAAAAAGGCTTTGAGTCGTTAATTCTATCTTCATAAGATAGTAAAGAACGGGGGCCCCTGTCCGTCCAATTCAGGGACTGCAACTCTCTTGAGGAACAAAGATGCCCCGGTCTATTCACCCGTAAATTACTTGGCATTTATTCTGAGTGTGTCCTGCGGTTTTTTAAGTGAACAGCGGGTTAGACATTCAATCAGGTTTGTGCCACAGCAGTCTGGAGATATTTGGGATCTCATGACCTCGTGCAAGGGTGGCGGATCTAACAGACTGAACAATAAGCATGATGAAACGGCAGAAACACTTGACTAATGTTAACAGGATTACACATCAAAGAACATCCACAGAGGCGTCGACATCGCCTGGACAAGATCACAGCACAACATGAATAAATCATTACATGTTTTGTAATTCAACCTTGGAGCCTGTTGTGCCTTAAGCACAACAGGCTTTTTTTTGTTTGGACAGCATATCTTTTTGAAGCCATGTCTTTATCACAGTCTGTCTGGTGTTTAACAAGTAAGAGATGACATCAGATGAGACTCCCTGCTGCAGAAGTCAGACATTATGCAAACAGATGAATGTGAAGTGTTGACTTAATTTCTTAAGAGGAGAGGAGTACGTTGAATGTTTCAGCTTAAGTCCACCCTGTCTTCAGAAAGTCGAAAATACTGTAGGTTACACCTACAACAGAAGCTGAAATGGTACCCAGCCATGCAGAATGTTCTGCTACTACAAAGTTCAGGTTTTCAAGAATACACCTCTGAAATGTCTGATTCACCATTCTAACATTACTATTTTTAAAGAAACAAACTGCAGCACACTGCACAAGTCTCTGTCAGCATTTCTAGAGACAATTTTGTCTCCTGAGAGAGGTTCCAATAGACATCAAATATGAATTATCCAGAGGAACAAGAGCATGTTCTCTGGGAAGAAGGTCTGTTATTATGCCAGATTTTAAAGAAGTAATCTTTCAAGGCATAAAGGGACAATTCCATTAACCTATAAGCATACAGGTAGAGGCACAAATCTCAGAGGTGGACTTCAGAAACAAAACTGAGAATAAATTGAATTGGAAAACAGCACTTGTAATTCAGCTGGAGGTGCTTCTACCGCTACGGTTCTCCCTACACAGAACATTAAAATGTATATATGTGCACATCACTTCAGGTGAGGAACTAATAATGTGGCTACATTCCTCAAGGCACGAGCCTTCAACACTAGAAAATAAAGGATGCGAGGAATGGGGAGGAAAAGTGACCAGCCTGATTATCATGAAGGGGCTTTAAAAGCTTTGCCAGTTACCTTTCACACAGCAATCTGCATTTATTTAGCTGCAGTGCCTGAGGAAACACGCCTGGCAGCACAAAGAGTGAACAGGAAGGACAAACTCACAGAGGATCACGAACTGTGGCCTTGTGCCATTTCAAGACATCAGAACGGAGACAGCGCAGCATATTAGGGTTAGGAAAAGCATGACCCGAGGTTACATCTGCATCAAGTAGATCGAGCCAATGTTCTCTTTCTCAGAACACAGATGACACAGAGTCAAATAGATGCTGCAAAACCAAGTGTACATATGCATGGAAAAAGCTGTGGAGAAGATTTAAAGAGTAAAAAAGAGCAGGGACTCAGGAAATACAGTGTGCATTTTGTGTGTTAAAGAGGATAACTGGAGGAGGAAAACACCTCGCACAGTATCACAACATATATATGATGGATGTGTGTGCATGCTGAGTCTACAGGCTCTCTGTTTTCATTATGTTCAGTCTGTGACTGCCCCCCTCATCAGTCTAATCCCTTTATTCCAACATTAGGACGTTGGACGGTCCACTGATCGGTATCAAAGCCCGGCTGATAGTGATGACTGCATCATCACATTACTGGAAAAGCACAGAAGCGAGCGTGAGGAGAAAGACAGAAGAGAAAAGAAAGAAACAGGTGTTAAGCAGCAGAAGAAAGAAATGATGTGATCACAGGTGGCAAAATAAAGAGTCAAGAGAACATGAGAGAAAGTGAAAATTAAAAATAGACGTGTGGTGTGTGTGAGATGGCAGTCACCCTGCCGGGAAACTGTGAGACTTTCCTGTATAATAATGCACGTCACAAACAAGTGATTAGCCTCTCCTCCTCTGAGAGCAAAAATAAATATATCTCAGCAGGGGGCAACTAAAGCCTAATGAGATAATGTAAGAACAAAGCCCACATGATCACTTCCATCTACATCAAACTGATGTGGACTGCGTACAAGTCATTTTCAGAGCTGCTCCATCATGAGGTTTTATTGCCAATCTACTCCAAATGGCGAGCAGTTCTTCTTCAAAGCTCCCGCGAGGAACTTCCAATTTCATGTGCTGTCGATATAGCTGCCCTCAGAGGACAAAGATCATCTTTTCCTTTACATGTTAAAAGTAGAAATTCCTAACAGAAGATCCTGCTGTCTTTGAACAGTTCCAATGTGTCACTCGCTGTAAATCGGGTTTTGTCATTTTAATCACATTGTCTGACACCTACCCTACTGACGAAAAAAAAATATCTACAGTATATAGATATCATAAATCTTATTTCTGATGCTCTTGTTTGCTTATGTAGATACAAAAGAAGAATAACTCTTAATTTCAGTCTGTTTCATAGCAAGTTTAAACTCCTTACAGGAACTTTAAGCAGTACAACTCACTGATTTGAGTTATTGTATTGAGGCTGTGTTTCGTTTTGGTTTGAAGACAAAAAATGATTTCCACCCAGAGACAAAACAACTGGAATCACTTGATATAATAGTGTTTGGAAGACAGGATTTTTACGAGTAAAGACTGAAATATCAATCTTAACATCGGATATTTAATTACTGCTTTGATTGTATAGCTGCCTTTTTTCAGTTCCTGCTATAATTACATTTATAAATCAGCGGCCCTAACACAATGTCTCCATTTTCTTCAGTACTCAAATAAGGTTGTTTCACATTCATACAAATACAAGCAAGATTCCCTCATATAGTCGCACTTAAGTCATTGCACTTTTAATAAAGGGAAATTCTTTTTACCCACATATATATACTATATAGGCTAACTGATAACCTGCAGAGAAAGGGGACTGGGGGGGGGGGGGGTGAGTGGGGAGGATTTACTAGCATTGTTCTGGCAACATTTCATAAGCCCACCTGTCCACAGCTATCGCAGTCATGGAGTAGATGCTCGCAAACACCGATGTCACGGGGAAGAAGTTGTGGAATTTGCAGTACGCCTCCCCGAAGTACCACTCCCCATGTGTAGCGTAGATAAAGTTTATCAAAGTATTAAACGCCGCCATGGACGCGTCCGAAAACGCCAGGTTCAGGAGGAAGAAGTTCGTCACAGTCCTCATGCGCTTATGAGCGAGGATGATCCATATCACGATGAGGTTGCCAAACACCGCCACAGCCAGCACCACGCTGTAGGCGACGGACCAGAGAGCCACGCGCCACGGCGGCTGCACAAACTGGTTGGTGTAGTTTCCCGTTATGTTGGATCCGTTATGTGGAGCTGCCATCCTCTTCTCCTTATCTCCCAAAATGTGAAAAGATGTTTGGCAGTTTTAACGAATCGGGTCTATCTACTGAGCAACAAAGCTGTAATTATAGGAGAGGATGTGCGTGTTATGCACCATAGCGCGCGCGCGACTTAAACACAACACCATTCCTCAAGACGCATTTACTTTACAGATTTCTGCAGGTTAATCCTACAATCACACCACAATAACAAAAAAAAAACACAGTCAAACACAAGCTGAATCTGTGCATGGAACAAGTATCCTCAGCGCCTGTTGAATGTGGGTGTGAGCGTTCAGCCTCTCCTCTCAGGCAGGTCTCCGTGCGCACTCAGTGACGCGCAAGTGGCCCACATGGTGGAAAAAAAAAAAAAAAGATTGATGGATAGTCGTGGCTGCTGTTTTACACTGCATGGACAACAGACGGGGCAGGCTGTGTCTCCCCTCGGTATGTAATTAGTCAGCATTGCGTGTCTTTATCTTCAAATGATACAGCAGGAGATGGAGTAGTAAAAACAGGATATTGAAATGTTACAATGGCGCACTTCTTTTCAGCCCGTAGATGTGCAGTCAACAATTGACACAGTTCACTGCCCTCTACTTTTGTTCAGTTGTCCACCACTCAAATGTCTTGTTACCCACAGCTTTTTTTTTTTTTTTTTTTTTTTTAAGGTGGATTGGCCTCTCTGCCTTAATGCTTCTATTTTTAAGGTTCTAAATTACCCTCACTCTGCAGCGGAGAGAATAGAAATGTACAATGCTGTGTGCTGTGACTCTCCCCTTTCCTGTCACATCAGCATTCACAACTATCAGGGTGAAGTCCCCTGCAGACATCCAGCTGTTCACATCAGATAAACCTCCTTCATCTGCCTGCAGAGCCTTTAGTGTAAGTCTCTACTTGAATACATTTACATGTCACCCACGGCTAATCGACTTTAGTTAGTCTGGTAAAGCTTTCTAGCAGATGCATATTTATTCAGTGATTAAGCTCCTTTAAATGAAACACGATATGAATATAATTGTTTTGGGAAGATCCAGTCCTCCTGTGAAATTCCATAAAAACCTTGGGTTTTATTTTTTATCAGTGCTTGAAGATTTTAAAAAAGGAGTTGAACTGAATACTGAATCAGCATACTGTGATACTGCATATGCAATACTGCATTTCAATATTAGAGAGAAGTCTTAGACACTGCGGATGAATGCAGACACTGCTGTCTGTTTAGCTCTCAATTTTGGTGCCATGCATATGCATTGAACTGTGGCACGACACAACAAGGGCACTATGTTGTTCCCCTTTAGACTCCTGGAGTTAAGTCATTTAAAAAGAGATGTAAAATAGAATGCTGCAAAAGTTTTGCAAACAAAATGAGTCTGCAGCTTAAAAGAGCTTCACATTCTCATCTAAAACATTGTAGTGTTGTCCTCGTTGCACTTCATTATATCTTACAGTGGAGGTATGCATGAGTAATAGAGAGGCTTTGTGTTGCAGGAACAGAACGTAAATTACCCATAATTAAGGAATCAGTGAATCATCAGAGGTGTTGTGAAAGTGATTGATGATGTATCGACTTAAAGGAAGGTAAACCAAGTATAAGATTAAGATTAACTTTTATTGATCCCTGCAAGGGGAAATTTCTGTTTTTACACTCCGTTAATCATGCAACTCACACATAGGCTGATATATACACACATGCACAAACAGGATCCTATGGAGATGCACTAATGGAGAGATGTCAGAGTGACGGAGCTGCCCACAGTGGGCGCTCTTGAGCTGGGGTGGGGAGGGAGTTTGGTGCCTCGCTCAAGGGCAATTTGGCAATGCTCAGGAAGTTATCTGGCACCTCTCCAGCTACCAGACCAACTTCGAGATTTGGTCCGCACCGGGACTTGAGCCGGCGACCGTCCGGTTCCCAGCCCAAGTCCCTACAGACTGAGCTACTGCCGCGCCGCCCCCGTATATCATGAGGTTTTGCAATCCTGCAATTTAAAATTCATGACACAGTCATTCTTCAAAAAGAATCTCCTTCAGTGATACGTTAATACAGACAAAAGTCTCATGATGGAGACTCGGTTTAATGATAAAAGATAATTGGCAGCAATCGGAATGAAGGTTACATATTCTCTCAATTTCAAACAACATATAAGAGAGAGGTCAGGATGTGAGGATTGTAAATCAGCTTCAGATTGAAGTCTACTGTGGCAGTTCATCTGGTGAGAACTCAAATTACAGCTGCATTTTCCTCAAATAGGGTCAGGCCGAAAGGTGAATGAGAAAAAAAAAATCAAATACAGAAAAAGCTGCAACCTCGGTCTATCGTACATAGAATTAACCACTAAGTAGAATACGTGCACCTCATATCCGTGGCTTTCTTTTCTGCTCTTTGATCGCTCTCAAAAACCCTCAAGGGGTGCTCCAGATGTCAATCTGACCTTTATTAAAGCCTATAGCGTGTGCAGCATTGTCACTGCGTTATTACTAGAATGATGCATATGGCAACGCATGCAGGGAGTAACCAATTGAAAGTTAGCTCCTCCCACATGGTTAATCCAGTTTGCAGAAATACTGTATGTTGTATAGAGGAATGCACTGAGTTTCATTTAAATTAATCTGTCAGGGATTTCCTTTTATGGATTTGATTTGATTTTGATGACAAGATTACATTGCAAAAACTCCAATCTTCATAAGTTAATTTGTCTCATTTCTAACCCTATATTAAAAGCCACCTGATCAGTCTGTATAAACATATTAGGGGGAAACTATTACCTCCTCCAGAACCTTTGAAGTTCCTGAACACTTAAGTTGCCTCTGTTAGCTCTGCATACTCACACTGCAGATCAATGTGATGTAAGCTTAAAGCAGTAACCACTGCAGTGTGACCCACAGGCAGAGTATTTCAGTATTTAAAGGGGTCCGAATGGAGATATTTATTTCATCTGTCTGAGAAATAATGCATCAGTGTTAAATGAAGCTTCAGGAATACTACATAAAAACAAGCAACTTACTGTTATAATTGTTTGAGTTTGAGACAGATGTTGTATAAAACATAATGCTGAAGATGATGATGTTGGTTATTTATTTGGAAATGTAAAAAATGAATGGCTTTAAAACAATAACTAAATTGGCATCCTTTCAAGCAGTTTAGCCTTTTTTGATAGACAGTATAAAAGCTAGAAACATGTGGAAGTGATAGTAATTCTAAGATTGGGGATGAGAAAGAAAGAAAATGTAAAAAAAAAAAAAATGTCCAGCTTTGTTAGCTCTTTTTTTGACATACAGCTGACACAATGGAAACATGTCACTAGAGTCTCGGGGGACAAACAATAAATGTCTTTTGGATGCATTTTTATACTATGTGCAGAACCCACACGGCTTAAAGAACACCCCTTAGATAATGACTTTGAAGCCTAAAAAGATTATAATGATTCAAGTTTGAGGGCCAGAAAGTAAACTTCAGTTCAGTACATGATACAATGAGACTCCCCGGGGCCCTCATTAGATGTGTGGTGTCCATGTCATTAAACAGCATCTGATTAAGAGTCACAGCTGTCAGAGAACACAGCAACACAGGCATTTAATGCATACATTCAGTCCAGTGTTGACCCTCATGTACTCTGACTGGCAGCTTAATGAGCTGCTGTGGGCTCATGCTCAGCCTCTGTGCTCATGTGTCTGTTGCATAGCTCTCGACTGTCAATAGATAATTGACAGGAAATGTCATTTTGTCACGTATTCGCCTGCATATATCTGGTAAAATAAATTCTAATAATAATTCCGCAGAATAATGTGTAAAGTTCAGCTGCAGCTTTGTCATCGGCTCTTTCCACAACATGTGCCATTTGTTCTGATCAATTCAAAATGAAACCAGAGGGAGTAATTTCTTTGCTAAAGAAACAGCATTGCTTCCCAATTATGTTTTGATTGATTTTTTTTAACAACCGAAATTCAGCTGAACATTAAGTTCTGGAGAAGAACGTCACGTGGAAACCTTTACTGTATGAGGAGGAGGCGACAAAGCAAACACAGTCTGTCACACAGCAATCAATTTTAGGCTATTTCTGTATGTGGGGCATGTTTGTGTTACTAAAACATTATTGACCACAAATTGAGAGGTGGCAAATAAAGCCTCTCTCAAAACAAGCAGCATTAAGGTGCTCTGCATTGAAATAGCCATACTCTCGTGCCTCGAAAGCTACACCTTGCCCATGAAGGCAGGATAAGAGTGGAGTCTTTCTGTCAGGTAGAGCCTAAAAAAAACTGCCCTATAATTTTCTATGAATATCAATTGCTACCCTCACAAGGAGAAATCACTCCGGTCCCCAACAGGCTTCCATTATGACGATAATGACAAGTTGTTATGGTATATATACAAAAAGGTTGGACAATCAGTGGTTCCCTTTGATTCTATTAAAGCAGAGTAGCTACTGTACATTAACACTGATAGAAATGGACAGAGTCATACTTGTTTCCCCTGCATTTAAAACAAGCCGTTGAGGATCTGGGGGGCCAATGGGGCCGACCAGAGTATTGGCAGTTTTGTCAATACAGTACCATTAAATTAATAACAGGAGTGCAGCTTTTATGTGCTGCTGGTGTTTGCTCTTTGTTTGACGGACTGAGAGGACCATATGTTCCAATGTATCTGAATGTCCTGCAGGAAACCTTGTAGCCCCCCCCCCCCCCCCAGATACACACACACACACACACACACACTTCCATCTAAGAAAAGCTCATGATGATAAAAATACTGTGCCTAAAAGACATTAATCAGATGATACCTCCGAGCACCAACACAAACAGATCCCCTCCCATCAGGTCTGGAGGTTGTAATGTAATAAAAATTATAATATATATAGAAAGAAAGAGGGGAAGGAAAGGAGGAACAAGAAAAGAAAAATGGAACGAAGGAAAGAAGAAAGAGAAAAATAGGAATAAAAATGAAAAAAAAAAATACAAGCATACACTTGAATTACACACACACACACACACACACACACACACACACACAAGCAGGGCCCTTCAACACCCTCAACATACAAAATTGCTGAACGTTATTATTACTCCCTGCTTGCCTGTTTTGTCTCTGTCTATGCTGTGCATTGTGTCGTCGTGTCTCCCCTGTCTCCTACATACTACTGCTCTTGTCATGTCCCTCACTCGTCTTGTATTGTTCTGCATCACCTAATAAAAAAACCTCCTTTAGCATAGGATACACTGGACCATCCTTTAGATATGACGCCCCACAATTCCTTGCGGCCCCAACATTTAAAGCGACTCGCGCATCCGACCGTTCACAAACATTAAAGTCCCTGTAAACAAAAAAAAATAAATGTTTTTTCGTTTTTTTATACAAAAGAAGACTGTATTATTAACCACCAGGCCAAATTTCAGCAACGAAAAAAACATTTAAGTTTATAAAATTAAGCTTCAAAATCATGAAAAATGTAGCTGTTCGCTCTCCTCTGGGATGCTGTGGGCGTGGCCATAGAATGTGCCGAAGCCACGCCCCCTCGCTTAGAGACGTTCCCTTCTCAACTGTCAAAAATGTAACTGACCTGACGATGGAGGCCT